TGGCAAAAAAACAAAAACACCCCACCACCTTTCAGTATGTTGATACCATTTGGACCCACAGGACAATAACCCCTTGGTTTGGAGATCTGTTGGGGCCCTCTATCACAAATTAAACACAGTGGTTGAATGAAAGAGAATAGTTTTGTTTACACAATTTCTACCCCACCTTTCCGTCCCATCAGGTCCACCAAGGCAGCTAGTTGAGTGCAGTGGACAGCTAGGAAATAGCCTACATTAGGAACTGTGAGAGATAAGACCGCTCTAGATTGCAGGGTGGGGCAGATCCATATTCTGAAGTGCTACCTGGATGTAGCCATAAATGGCAAATGGCAAGAAATAAAGGCGTGTAACAAATTAGTGCATACCTTTTCCCCTTTCAGATTTTCAAGGAAATGGAAATAGAATATTGCTGGCCAAGGGGGATTGAGGGTTGGGGAGGGAGCACTGTACTTACCTGTGTGTGCACATGGGTGTCCCTTGGGATACTGGCAGAAGAGCTAGGGTACCTGTTTGGGCTGAAATCTGGGAGAGGTCAGCCATGGAGTGTGGACTTTGCTCTCCCTGTGGTGTTTACCCGCCAAGTGCTTGCCCAATGGTGCTAAGGGTCCTGTCTATGTTGTTCCCACCACCAAGGTAGATTTGCTCTCGCTCTAAATCTGCACAGCAGGGAGCTGCTAGACAGCAATCTGTGCTGCACGCCTTACCTCAGGGTTTGTGGGGAGACCTCCTGAAACAATTTGTAGGGTGAGTGGGGCCTGATTGGGTGCTGTGGAAGGGCCCGGCTGGCATGGAGGAGGGTGCTGATTGGGTGAGCACTAGGTCAGCATCCTGTACTGCTTTGGTTCACGTGGGTGGTCATGGCGGAGTGGGGGGGTTGTGTTATTTATTTGTTTATTTATTATTTTTATTTGTGTCCCGCCTTGTCAGGCACGCTGGCTCAAGGCGGCTAACAGAGTTAAAATAACATAAACAATACAGAGTTAAAACGATTAATAAATACAATACCAAGTTAAAACAGCAACAGTTTACAAGTAAAACCGACAGATGGTGGCAATAATCCAAATCACACCCAATGATAGGAGTAGCATGCAGCGAGGTCTCAGGCCAGAAGATGTTCTAGTTTTCAGGCCAGAAGATTTCCAGGGCACATTCATTAGTGGCGGCTCCTAATTGAAAGCCTGGTGGAAGAGTTCCGTTTTACAGGCCCTGAGGAACTATAAAAGGTCCTGCACGGCCCTGATGTCCTTCGGGAGCTCATTCTACCAGTATGGGGCCACCACTGAGAAAGCCCTGGCTCTGGTGATATTCAGTCTGGCTTCTTTCGGACCAGGGAGGGTCAAACGATGTTGCGACCCTGACCTCAGTGCTCTCTGGGGCACATATGGGGAAAGGCGGTCCCTCAAGTAGGCAAGCCCCTGACCACATAGAGCTTTAAAGGTTAAAACCAGCACCTTGTCCTCAACACAGGCTGGATGTGGTCCCGTATAGAGAGACCCATCAACAGACTGGCCGCGGCATTCTGCACTAGCTGCAGCCTCCGGATCTGGGACAAGGGTAGCCCCATGTAGAGAGCGTTGCAGTAGTCTAATCTCGAGGTGATCATTGTGTGGATCACTGTTGCTAGGTCATTGCGTTTGAGGAAGGGAACCAACTGCCTAATCAGCCATAGGTGGTAAAAGGCCGCCTTGGCAGTGGCTTCTACCTGGGCCTCCATTGTTAAGGAGGCATCCAGGAGCACTCTCAGACTCCT